ACTCCAGCCTGGGCGACAGAGTGAGACTCCAACTCAAAAAATACATACATACATACATACATACATATATATATATATATATATAGAGAGAGAGAGAGAGAGAGAGAGAGAGAGAAATTTCCTAATATCATCAAATATCTGATCAGCGTTTTCTGATTGTATCTCTTTTTTCCAGCTAGTTTGATAGAATTGGGATTCAAATAAGATTTATACATGTACTTTGTTGATATGTCTGTTCATTCTCCTTCAATCTATAGTTCTTCCTCCATCTCTCTCTGTTTTGTTTTGTTTTTGCCTGCAATTTAGTTGTTGAAGAATCCGGGTCATGCATCCTTTAGTTTCCCAGTTTAGGTTTTGCTAATGCCATCCCCATGGTGTAACTTAATCGCATCCTTGTTGTCTCATGTATTTTCTATACATTGTTAGATCTGATGCACCCATAACTACTGGATTCAGGTTGGACCTTTGTGCATGACTATCTCCTAGGTGGTATTGCCTTCTTCCATCAGGAAGCACTTTGTGTATCTTTTCATGACATAGGCAGTCATGGAAAATTATGGCAAAATGATCATATTTTAATTATAACTGGCATCTTTATTTATTTATTTTTTTTAATTATTTTTTTTTTTTAGTTGGAGTCTCACTCTGTCGCCCAGACTGGAGTGCAGTGGCCGCTCCTGGCCACTGCAGCCTTGACCTACTGGGCTCCAGAGATCCTTCCGCTCAGCCTTCCAAGTAGCTGGAACTACAGGTGCACGCTACCACGCCCGGCTAATTTTTTATTTATTGTAGAGATGAGGTCTCGCCAAGTTGCCCAGGCAGGTCTCGAACCCGCGGGCTCAGGCAATCCACTCACCTCAGCCTCCCAAGTCACGGGATTACAAGCTGAGCCACCGAGCCCGGCTCATCTTTATTTATTAATTGGAAGTTTATAGAGACCTTCCCTTCCTTTAAGCTATTTTTCCATAGGCAGTTCATCTATTTCTGTATTTTTGGTTCTGTTCTTTTCATCTATTCATGTGCCGATGCTATACTATTTTTATGATAGAGGCTTTGTAATCCATTTTAATACCTGATTTTAATATTTGGCAGGGCTAGCCTTTGTTTTCCTGGCTATTCTTATTTGTTTTTCCAAATGAACTTTATACAGAAAATACATAGGACAACAAGGATGATATAAATGTACGAGGGGGATCTCCCCAAAAAACAAAATTATCTTTTGGAGAGCCAGGCCCCTTGTAGTACAGGGTTCCCTAGTGTAGTTGTAAGAGGCTGTGTTCAACTTCAGTGAGTTGTTTGGTTTTTTTTTAGATTCTTTCAGTGCATTTGCCCATTTCATCATGGGTGATTTACGAGTGCACCTGCCCACACTGCACTGAGTGTTCAGCAGTTTTGACCAAAACCAGCAGACCCCCCATGCCCCACTCTCCCTATTCACCCGATCTCACCCTAAGCGATTTTTTTTGTTTCCCTGGATAAAAAAAAGTCCTCAAAGGGAAACGTTTTGCTGATGTGGAAGAGATGAAACAAAAAACAGCAGAAGCACTAAAAGGCATCAAAATGGATGAGTTTGAAAACTGTTTTGAGTAGTGGGAAAAGCATCTTGATAGGTGCATTGCAACCAACAGAGAGGACTTTGAAGGAGACTGAAGTGTAAACATGTAAGAATAAGTACACCATTTTGTATAAGTAAATTTCAGGGTTTTTAGGAGTCCACCGTTATACATGTATAAAACTACCATTTTGTTATTGAGAGTAATATGTTGATAATTTAGACCAGGAATGGCAAATTTGTTCTGTAAAGAGCCAAGTAGTATTTTCAGCTGTGCAGGCTGGGTGGCCTCTGCTGTTGTAGCCAAAAGCACCCACAGATAATACATAAACAAGCAGGCGAGACTGATTGGACTTAAGTAAAACGTTATTTACAGAAGCAGCTGAGTGGATATGAGACACAGACTGTAGTTAGTCTTAGTTGAGTTGAAGGCAGTAGCATACCAGTAAATGTTTAAAACCAGCTTTTGGAAGAGAGGAGGGAACTGTGATCGGTAGTGTTTGCCTACTTACATGGCTGATTTCAAGCTACAAACTTACATCACTGAGTAGGAGGTCAAAACAGATGCACAGTTGCCTGCCATTAAGTTGTCTTTTTCGTCATGCAGATACGCTAGATCAAATAACCTCAAGAGCAGAGACGAACCGGGTGTTGTGGCTCACGCCTGTAATCCTAGTACTTTGGGAGGTGGAGGCAAGGGAATTGCTTGAGTCCAGGGAATTGCTTGACCTCATCTCTACAATAAACCAAAAAAATTAGCCAGGTGTGGTAGCGCACACCTGTAGTTCCAGCTATTTGGAAGGCTGAGGTGGAAGGATCGACTGAGCCCAGCAGGTCGAGGCTGTGGTGGCTGTGAGCATGCCACTGCACTCCAGCCTGGTCAACAGTGTGATTCCAACTCAAAAAAAAAAAAAAAAAGAGCATAGATGATACTAGAACAAAACAATTAGGATCTGATGGGTTTGGGATATTTATTACCTTTGTTTTTTACTATGTTATATGATTATAAATTTAGATGATTTAATATTGCATTATGTCTATGTTTAACATCTGACTCACAATGTTTCTGAAAATATAATCATTGACTCAGTGTGTGCCTATTCTCACACTCCCGAGTCGGAAGGAGGACTTGGTTGTGGAGGAGAAGACCTAAATAGGTCAGCAAGGACTGGGTTAATTAAGGAATACGGCCTCAAGGGAAAACTTACAAAAGTTGCAAAACCTTACTGACCAGCTTGCAAGAAGCACCTGATCACTGTTAAGCAATTCCGCACATCAGTAACCACCAACAGTTATTTTGAGTAATTCCACAGGTAACCTGTTAGCACAGTAAATGCCAGCCAGCTGCCAGCCCCCAGCACAGTCTTACAAAACTGCCAAGAAGCCCTGCCTCCTTGCAGACAGCAGGCAGCCTCCCCTGTGCCCACCTCTCTTTTGCTGCGTACCTTTATGTCTCCCCTTCCTTGAATCTGCCTTTCTTGATTCCCCACTGTCTTGGTTCATCCCTCCGGCCCCAGCTAGCCATTCACACGACCATGATCGAGAATTTCAGTTTAAGAAATTGCCTGTTAAATAAAAAATAATATGGGAGAATAAAAGCAAGATGTATAGAGAATTGTGTTAACACACAGCCTTTGCACTAACCTTGCTCATCTGTTTTAATAAGAACCTGAAAACATAACTTGATTTATTTAAGTGGGAGTTGGTCCCATGTCAAAGGTGCTTTGTGGCCGGGCTCGGTGGCTCAGCCTGTAATCCCAGCACTTTGGGAGGCCGAGGAGAGTGGATTGCCTGAACCCGCAGGTTAAAGACCCACTTGGGCAACTTGGTGAGACCTCATCTCTACAATAAATCAACAAATTAGCCGGGCGTGGTAGTGCACGCCTGTAGTTCTGGCTACTTGGAAGGCTAAGGTGGAAGGATCACTGGAGCCCAGCAGGTAGAGGTTGCGGTGGCCAGGAACGCGCCACTGCACTCCAATCTGGGCAACAGAGTGAGACTCCAACTAAAAAAATAAATAAATAGGTGTTTTGCTTCTTGGTTCTTTAATCTCAATTTTTAAGTGAGAATTATGACATAAATTTAGGTCAGTAAATTCTGTCACTGTGTCACATACAAAAATAAGTGTACTTACTATTTGATTTTTTTTCCCTTAAGGCATAACGGTGTCACCTGACGAAGAAAAAAATTTGAATCGTTATGTACAAGTGTTAGAGAACCTGATACTAAGTGTCCCCACAAGGGAGCCAGGCCTTGAGAAAAGACAGAGCACTCCCAAAAATGCTCACTCTGTGGGGCCAAAGGAGCCCAAACTCAAGGAGCTCTTTACTCATGGAGAAGCGTCAACTAAGAACGATGTGTTCATCAGCCCTGTCAGCAAAGAAACCACCTCTCTCTCTACTAGAGGCTTCACCCCGGAGATAGAGAAGAAGAAACACACTGAAAGTCCTGCATTCTGGTCGATCAAACCCAACAATGTGTCCATTGTTCTACGGACAAAAGAACCATACATCGAGAATGAAGAGCCTGAGCCTGAACCAGAGCCAGAGCCACGTATGAAACAAGCTGAGGCAGCAACGCCGTTGCCAAATGTCACTGAAGCCCCCACCAGTCCAGAGGCCGTGTCGGGCAGACCGCTTGTCCCCTCCTTCAGCAGGGGCACTGACTCTGAGGCCACGACAGACTCAGAGGATGTCCCTCAGCTCTCTGGCGAATCTGAAATAGACAAGCTGGAAGAACCAGTATTGGGACAACACCCACAGATTTTGAATAGTGATGACATTTTGAGAAAAATTTTGGACGTGAATTCACAGGTGCAGCAGGCACTTCTGAGTGACAGCACCAACCCAGAACACAGAGAGGACATTCAGGCCGCCAAGGAGCAGCTGAAACGGAGCCTCGCGCTAGCTGTGGCAGCAGAACACAAACTACAGACGATGTACAGATCCCAGGCATTCTCACCTGGACGGGCCAGCAGCAACATCGACAACACTGAAGCTGTTATCAACATGCTGTATTATTCTAGATCTAAACTCCACGAATATTTAGATATTAAGTATGTTCCACCAGAGATGAGAGAAAAAGCTATTACAGTATTAAATACCTTGAAACAAATATTATGTATAGGCCAAGCTGAAACTAAAAACCTTATTAGGAAGTTACTAAACAATAATATAAAAATTTTAAACCTACTCGATATTCCATGACAAAGTTGATTGAAGCAAACTGCATTCGTTCACAGGAGAAATAAGCATATTAGTGATTTCAAAAGTTATATTAAAAATGTTCTGTTGAAGTTCAATGTGCTAACATCTTTATATGTCATGAGTTATGAAGAATTATTTGTATGCACTAAAATCCTAATAATTTAAAATAAAATTTTGGTTCAGGAGTTTGTAGTATTTTCTCATTTTAGTTAAAAAGTTGTGAAGCACTAATCTTTGTAAAAAGTTTAAACTTTCATTTTACTTGATTAAATTCACTCATTTGAGGAGTTGAGAGACCATGTGCACGCTCTGTATAGCTGGTTTTAAATAATTGCATATACATAAAGTGTTCAGTTTTCAGGTATATGCTCTTTGTTACTCTTGCAGAGAATCTGGGTTTCTGTCTGAATGGCCTCCTTGGGGCTTGTGTCAGAACTTTTATTTGTCTATGTGTGCACATACTTTGAAGTACGTCCCTGTGCTTGTACTGTTAAGCACCTTCAGAGTATCAGTAAGGAACTGTAACCTAGAGAGGGAATGAAGCCATTGTCACTTAGCTCCTCCTGTTGTTTGTCTGTGTACATGCACGTTGAAGCTTTGCTAATCTTTTGCCAGGGGATATGACTGACACCATGAAGGTTACCTTGTAATATAATGATAGTTCAGGTCATTCTGTTTATGATTTGACCAGTACTATATTCAAATTGACTTATGTATTCATTCATCAAGGCAGTCATTTATAATTTGATAAAGATTTATGGACTATGTGCAGGGAAAGCTGCTAGGCTTTAGGGATACAAAGATAAGACCTACTTCCTTCTCTTTTTGAGATTATATATAGCAAGAAAGATAGATACTAAACAAATAATTTCAGCAATTTTAAAATTGCAGTTGTGACCAGTTGTTATGAGGGTGTGATATATTTGACCTCACTTCAACCAAGAATAATGGGAAAGCTGCCTGAGAAAATAGTGGATCCAGGGAAGTATGAAAGATCAGGGGTGTGTAAGGGGAAGGAGTGTTCCAGGCGGAGGGAACAGCGTTTGTGAATGAATGCTCTGAGCCAAGGTGAGGATGGCAAGTTCAGGAAATGCCTGGAGAAGGAAGAGCACCCAGGAGGACTCTGGTGACATGCACTGGTCAGAATAGGTCCTGCGGGGGCCCTATGAGCATGTTGAGTATGTCAGCCTTTGTCTCTTGATCCATGAGAAGCCATTCATGAATTTTTTTTGTTTTGAGTTGGAGTCTCACTCTGTTACTCCCTGGAGTGCAGTGACATACTCACAGCCCCCACAGCCTCGACCTGCTGGGCTCAAGTGATCCTTCTGCCTCAGCCTTCCAAATAACTGGGACTACAAGCATACACTACCATGTCTGACTAATTTTTTGATTTATTGTAGAGATGAGGTCTCACCAAGTTGCCCAGGCTGGTCCCAACCCCTGGTCTCAGGCAATCCTCTCACCTCTGCCTCCCAAAGTGCTGGGATACGCCGTGAACCACTGTGCCCAGCCCATTCGTGGATTTTAAGAAAAGTACTGGTATGATCAAATGGTGTTTTACCACAACCACTTTGGTTGCAGTTTTGGAAGGAGGCTAATTAGAAGTGCTCAGACACAGACCAAATTGGGCTCAAGTCAATGGAAGACATGGCAATTAAGACATAGACTCGACGGCACCTGGGAACAAAAGGATGCGAGGATTGCCCTGGCAGCAGGTACCAACCCTTTTCACAGCCAGCTGTTTCGCGAAAAGGGTTGCCAACTTCGTTTCATAACAACACTCTTTACTGTGGTTCAGTTCTAAAAATAATTTGACAATGGGAAATTCCACATACTTGCAAAAGTAAACTATAACATAATGAACCCATATACCTGTCCACATACAGCAAACAAACCAGCCTCAGAGAGACAGGTGCTCCAGAACACAAGATTTTATTTAGGAATAAGAAAGGGTGTGAACTGGGGTATGCAAGCCGTGAAAACCATAAGTACGCACCCCAGGAATTAGGCCAAAGCGACTTTTTAGGAGAAAGAGAAGTCCACGCAAACTGCCTTAACAACTTAACAAAGCTCTCGGGAAGAGAGAGCCCTTGGTGCCACTGTCCTGGTCAGAGTTCTTCTGAAATGCTGAAGGCCAAGGAAGCTCCTGGGATAAGCTCTGATCACAGGGCACTGCGAGACTACAGGCACTTCGAGAATGTACGCATGAGGGCCTCCTAAAATCTCCCACTCCCGGCTAGGCCCAGGCTTTGGCATCCGCTGGGATAGTGTTAAGGCCACACCCCGCCATCTGGTTTCCACATCACCCACTGATAACCTGTCATGCTTCATCTGTGCCCACTCTCTTCCCCTTCCTGTTGTGTTAAGTCCCAGATACTTTATCATCTCGTCAGTAAAAGTATGACAATGTGAAGGTCTACTTTAAAAAAAAAAATAATTATCACACATAAAAATTGAATGATTTTTAGTATCATCAAATATCTAGTCAATGTTCAAATTTCCAACTGTCTAATAAGTTTTTAAGTTTAGAGTTTGTATGAATCAAGATCAAATAAAGCTCACACACTGAGACGAGTTGATTTGATTCATAAACCTGTTTTAACCTAAAGATATCTTTCCACCTCTTTCTCTCCCCTTGAAGTTTATTTCTGGGAGAAATTGGTCATTTGTGCTAGAGCTTCCCACAATAAGGCCTTTGCCACTTGCAGCCCCGTGGTGCAGTCAGCATGTTCTCCTGTGCCCTGGGTTCTCTGGAAGTTGGTAGTTAGATAATCTAGAGAGGTTTCATCAGACCGAAGTTTGTTTGTTTGCTTGTTTGCTTTTCACAAGATAGTGTGTTATTCTTCCATCTGGTTGTATCTCTTTTTGTCTTTTAGCAGCTTTTGAAGATCCTTGCCAGGACAGAAAAATTGATGAGGTGATTCAGAGTGGAGGCAGCAACTCTTCCTCTTCTTTCTCTCCTCTGTCATCTGGTCCCCCAGTAGTCTCATGTGTATTGGAAAGTCATCAAATGCTGAATCTTTCTCTTAATGATTAGTTCATAGAATCCTCCAATGATGACCTATTTTTAAATGAGTAGCCATTTTTAAAGCAATTTTAGATTTACAGAGAAACTGACCAGAAAGTCCAGAGTTTTTACCATCTCCCTCTCCCCCTGACAGTTCCTCCTATTATTTGCATCTTGTGTTAGTGCAGTCCATTTGTTACCACTGATGGACCTACACAGACACATCATCAGCACCGAGAGTTCGCACTTGGTGTTTTGCAGTCTATGCACTTGGACAAATGATAATGACACATGTCCACCATGACCGTATCACACAGAGGAGTTTCACTGTCCTAGGGAATCCTCCGTGCACCAGCTGTTCATGCGTCCCTCTTCCCCAACCCCGGCAACCACTGCTCCTTTCACAGTCTCTATAGTTTGCCTTTTCTAGGACGTATAGACAAGTTGAGTATCCTTTATCCGAAATGCTGAGAACCAGATGAATTTTAAATTTCGGTTTTATTAAGATTTTGAATATTTGCATATGCAGAGTGAAATACACCCTATACACCTAGTCCGAAGGTAATTTAATACACTTATTTTTAATAAGTTTGTGCATAAAACAGAGTTTGTGTACACTGAGCCATCAGAAAGCAAAGGCATCACCATCTCAGCCACCTGTGTGGACAGTCTGTGGCTGCTGGGCGTCACCATTGTTCTGACTCTTGATGGATACACAGTTGATTAGCATCCTTTTTCTGATACTTATGCACACATAAGTATTTCAGAGAAGAAACATGACATACTAATAGTACAGGGAAAAAACAATGTGACAGTTGTAGAATTGTCCACTTGGGATGTCATGTCAGCATCCAAACAGCTTCAGATTTTGGAGCATTTTGGATTTGGGACTTTCAGATGAGGGATGCTCAGCCTGCAGTTGGAGTCTTGCAGTCTGTAGCCTTTTCTTCTTATTTTTCTTTATTTTAATTTTTTTAGTCAGAGTCTCACTCTGCCATCCACGCTGGAGTGCAGTGACACACCCATGGCTACCACAACCTCAACCTGAGGGCTCAGATGATCCCTCTGCCGCAGCCTTCCAAGTAACTGGAACCACAAGCGAGCGCCACCACACCCAACTAATTATTTTTGATTTATTATAGACATGAGGTCTCGCCAAGTTGCCCAGGTTGGTCTCGAACCCCTGGGCTCAAGCAATCCTCTCACCCCTGCCTCCCAAAATTCTGTGATGACCAGCGTGAGCATCCGCACAAACAGGATTCATTCACTTAATAATATGCATTTAGCTTACCCATTGTCCTTTAATGGCTTGATAGTTTCTTTTTTTTTTTTTTTTTTTTTTTTTTTTTTTTTTTTTTTGTGAGTTATAGTCTCATTCTGTTGCCCAGGCTGGAGTGCAGTGGCACACTCAGGGTCACTCCAGTGTTGACCTGCTGGGCTCTGGCGATCCTTCCACCTCAGCCTCCCGAGTAGTTAGAACTATAGGTGCACGCTACCACACCTGGCTAATTTTTTATTTACTGTTGAGACGAAGTCTCATCAAGTTACCCGGACTGGTCTCAAACCCATGGGCTCAAGCAATCCACTCACCTCAGCTTCCCAAAGTGCTGGGATTACAGGCTGAGCCACCAGGCCTAGCTGATAGTTTATTTCTTTCTGGTGCTGAATTACATTCCATTGCCTGAATGTACCATAGTTCATTTACCCTTTCTCCTACTGAAGGACATCCTGGTCGCTGCATAAGTTTCAACAATTATGAATGAAGCTGCTCTAAATACTTGTGTGCAGGTTTCTGTGTGAACATAATTTCAACTCCTTTGGATAAATATCAAGGAGTATGACTGCTGAATCACATGATGGGAGTGTGTTTGACTTTGTAAGAAATTGACAAACTGTCTTTTAAAGCGGTTGTACAAGTTTTATTCCCACCAGTGATGATGAGAGTTCCTGTTGCTTCACGTCAGTGTCAGCACTTAGCGTTGTCAGTATCTGCATTCTGTCCATTCCCAGAAGTGTATCATATCTCTTATTGTTATGACCTATTGTTTTAAAATTAAACTTATTTTGTGATAACAACAGATTCACATGTAGTTGTTTTTTTTGTTTGTTTGTTTGTTTTGAGTTGGAGTCTCACTGTTGCCCAGACTGGAGTGCAGTGGCCGCTCCCGGCCACCG